ATGAATTACCACCTGTCAATGGGAAATGTTTGTGAAATGGATCTGATACTGGCAAGGGCAGGTCTGTTAGAACTCGCTGATGATCAGATCAAGAATATGACGGTTTGTCCAGTCCATCGCTACACTTTGGGAAAATACTGGCAAGCTCCAAAGACCTGCCAGTATCCAATACATCACGGGAAGAAAATGGAAATATCCGGAACACATGTTATTAATTTCAAGACTGCAAGGGAAATAAAAAATATCTTTGGAGAAGCCGTTCCCGTTGGCTCGCGTCAACACTATCAGACTAGCAACTATAACTGTTTTATTCTTTCATTTTATACTTAACATATCACAATTAAAAGGTTTTGTCTGTCTTAACATTTCAACTAAATACTTTCGTTCATAATCTAATTACTTAAAAGCGAGCTATAGACTGAGGGGAAGTCTCATTCTATATATTTTCTGAACGATAAACAATCGATCCCGTATTTGATAGTATTTTGCAGCCAGAAGATCATTTCCAAACAAATAACATATCAAATGATCTCAGTTTGGTTTTTGTAGTTCATTAGCAATAGTTCTTTGCTGTGCGTCATCTATAAATCTGGTCGCTGATTTATAGCCTTTATAATATAATTTCCAAGATGGGATATAAAGATATAGCTTCTTTTATCAACTTAGAAGTACATCTGGTATTTTTTAACAAGTCTTTGCAGGTTGCAAAACTATTTTTTGTTTCTTTTTGTTACTAGCTTTTTCACAACGTGCAGAAAGAAACACCGCAAAGAATTAGATCGGAAATCAGACTGGCTATACCCTGACGGAACTGAGGGAGATGTGCTGTCGGGAGAGTAGTCGTTTGGTTGTTATTTTATAAAAAATACACACATGGTTATCCCGTCAGGTTATCCTATGGCAAGGCAACTAAGTAGCAGCCTTTCCATTTCTACCGTGTAGCATGAAAATTTTGCGGGAGTTTTATTTTGCGGATTGGCAATTTTTTGTGGTTTGCGGGAACAAATTCTTGCGGTTCAAGATGACTGACATTTCTGGTGGGAACCAATTTTTGCGATTCTCTGTTCAAGTAGCAGAATATTGAAGTGGAAGAAACCTTGATATGGTATTTTCAACTTTTATTTTACGGTATGTTGAGTCAAAGTTCACTCTACTTACATATTTAATGGAGAATAATACGGTAATATCTTACGTCACAAAGGGACTGAACAACAGCAAAACAAAACAAAAGCCTATCCCTACCACACACAACAAGTCCATTAAAAGCAGAGCTTTAATTTGACTGAAGGGAGTTAATTTTTCCGGCGTTTTATTTTGCGGGGTTTTTTTTCTGCGGGAACTAATTTTTGCGGATCGAGGTCAATCCGCAAAATTCGCAAAAATTAGAACCCGCAAAATTTTCATGCTACTCGGTATTCTCCGCAGACATGCTAAAGAGGCTGTTGTGGGAGCCATCGGTCGCATGGTCACTTCGACTCCATTTCTTGAAGATCAATCAACGCCAGCTTCCTGGAACACCATGCTGGACTCCAGGGTCAGAGGAGGCCTCTTTTACTTCACCCGTGGTAACCGATGCAGTCGGCAGGTATAACGAGGCGATGGATACAATTGCGAGTCTTACTACACAAGAACAAGTAGAACGCTAGTCCCTTAAATATCAGCAGAAACCTTCATTCCAAAACTTCAGCGATGGGGAACAGTTGAAAGTTGTAAAAAAGGCTAAACACGACTGCTTGCACGTATGTAATGTAATTGCCCCAAGTAACAGGGAGGAGCTCTTCGAGTCAATGATGTCTGTACAAAGAGAATTATTTGATAGCTCAGCCCCCGATGATCTTGTGGTACTCATGACTGCTTAACGAGAGAACACAAAGGCCAGGAATTTAAAGAAACAGATATTGTGCCTTTACGCTCATAGATACCCTATGACCAAATTGAAGAAAATTCACCAGCCTTACGGAAGTCTCTCTACACCGGAAATAAAGCAAGCACGTTCTCATGCTAAAATGCACGGCCCTGGGACCATCACTGAAATCAAGACGAAGCATCGCGTACGCCTTGATATGGGGAAGGTCGACCACTTTGTAGAATTCATTGATAGACTGTATTTTTATCAGGATGTTTCAAATGGTAACAAGGTACTCACCTTAGATAATGGTGACAGAATTGAGATGCCTAACGTTGTAAGGATCCTTACCAAGTCTACAATGATTGAGCAATACATGGAGTATTGCAAAGAGCAATGTCGCGAGCCACTCAGTAGGTCAACTCTGTTTTAAAATATTGGAGGTTCGAGAAGCGTCTCAGAGTTAATTGCTCCAGGGCGTAGAGAATACGGCTGCAGATGGTGCTGCAGGCTTTCAGACTATCGAGACGCTGGTTGAAACTCTTGATAAAGGAGGAATGGAAAAAATAGTGGTGTCTAGGTATTTGCCAAAACCTACGCGATGCTAAACGCTATCTCAAAACTGACTACCGTGTGCACTGTCAAGAGTATTAATCTACTTGCGTTGTCCACTGTAGAAAGTCTGCGCTTAGTGATCCTGTTGATCCCGAGCTCCAGCATCCTTGTCCACATCAGCATCAATCGAAGCTGAAAGATGTTCTAAAGGAAGTGAGTCCAGCGATTGAAGGTCATCATGGAAGCCTTACAGTTCCAAACAACGAGAAGATGTCCTTTACGACTTTGACCGTGCACAGTCAGACATCAGACGAAAACGCACATTGTGCGCTCAATAAATAAGGAGAAGGTGAAACAAGATGCACTAAAATCAGAAGACCCACAGTCAGCCATTCTGATCATGGAGTGGGCTATGAAGTTCCTCCAAATAAAATTTCGTGAGAAACAGTCTGAATGGTTCGGAAAAAGAGGGTTGAGCTGGCATATTTCCACCCTTATAACTAAGAATGTTGACTCTGGAAAAATTGAGCTAAAATCGTATGCTCATATCTTCGACTTTTGCCAGCAAGACTAGTACGCAGTATGCTTGATCATCGAAAACATACTTGAGGTTGAAACGAAAGAATATCCCCAGATTACCCAAGTAGACCTAAGGAGTGACGAAGCAGACTGTTACCACAATGATGCCGGAAGACGAGTAGGCATTGAAGTAGCACGGTATTGCTTTTCCGAGCCGCAGTATGGAAGAGATATTTGTGATAGAATCCTTTGTACAATGAAATCATCTATCCGACGACATTGCAATGAGGGACACGATGTCGTTTCTGCCAAAGACATGCGTGTAGTGCTCTCAGAACGCCCTGCTAAAGGTACAACTGCCTCCGTGTGCGCAATTAATGAGACTCAAAAGACAGTCGAAGTACATAAGATAGAAGGTTTCAGAAAGTATCACAATTTCAAGTTTGAAGTGGAAGGAATTAGAACATGGAGAGCTTATGGTGTTGGACTGGGCAGGTTTATTCCTTACCGAGAAGTCATAACTGTACATCAAGGTCCTACTGACCTCATTGTGCATGAGAACTTCTTTTCTCTCAAAGAATCAATGTTCATCAAAATCAAGGCCACTTTTCTACTTCTCTATAGGAGAAAGTCCCCTCTTTTACGCTTTACAGACTACCAAGCAACAGACAGATGACCGAATTACCGGATTGATTGCCAATTTGATCTTCTTCCTGCTTGTTGGAGAGGCAAAACCTTGTTGTAGTACAGATGTATTCAATACCTTAACTTCCATTCAAACCCCCTTTTCTATTGAGGACATTACAGTCTTGACCGGTGTGACAAAGACTAATCAAAATAACTTGCACCACGTGTACCTCCGTAAGTTGGTCGCATCGTCTTCTGTAAAAAACGTAATCGCTTTGCCTGGTCTCTCAGCACGGCCTGTTCTACCTGTAATTAAATGAATACGCATATCATCAAAATAAACACGAGGCTAGGATGGAAATTACTGTGCAGTGAATAAGCATAGAAAACACTTTCTTTGTTATCCACGGATAACCGGCTTTGTGCGTTTTTTAGCTCTTGTTGCGAACTGCAACATTCATAATACACCAAATACTGCACAGTAGTACGTAGTGCGCTTTATTTGAACTGAAGGATGCTTTTCTAAAAGTTCTTTCTTACTCAACAAGCCTAAATGCCATAAACCCACCGCTAAAAACACGATTACAATGAGTCTGTGAGGGTCCGAATGGGGTTAACCGACTAACGACAAACGGTCAACAGTTTTTTTGCATGATTGTTTTCTAACTTAGAAAAATGTCCAGGTCCTTTTAGTGGGCTGTATTTCACCCAAAGGTTACCACACTAACCACAGTTAATGATAGAATTTCATAAACCGTTAAAACATTTTGTTTAAATCATGGGCCATACTTAGAAGACGAGACTGGTTATGGAAGGCGGCAAACATCAAAGCTAAAAACACTGGTGCTGCAGTTTCATCTTGAAAGCTAAAACAAATATTAACCTTGTCATGTGCCATAATTTCTACTTTAACAAGAATCTTGGATGTAAGGCCGTTGATAATCTAACTTTGTCAAGTAGCATTATTGAATATTTTAATTGTTTTTTATTCTAATTGTTGGTTTATTCTTTTATTAAAAGACCACACAAGCTGTAAGCTTTGACTTTCATCATGTATACCGTGCGGCATGAAATTTTTGCGGAAGTTTATTTTTGCCGATTGGCGATTTTTTGTGTTTAGCGGGAACTAATTTTTGCGATTAGGACAGACTGGTTTTTCTTGTTGGGAATTAAATTTTGCGGTTTTTAGAAAGTACCCGGTACATAACATTGATAATATTTTCGTTTTTCTTGAGCACGTGTAATAGAAACACAAATTTTCAAGCAATAAACCATTATTTTGTTGTTTCTGAATGAAAGAGACGAGTTGCGATTGAAAAGGCACGATTTCTTAGTACTGTATTTTTGTGTAGCGAATTTAAGTTGGAGAATATTTACTCTGGAGTAAATTTTTTGCGGGAAAAATGTTTGCTGTAATTGTTATTCGCGGGAACTTATTTTTGCGGATCGCTGGAAAAACCGCAAAAATTTCGTGCCACACGGCAAGTAAAGGTTGTATGTACATGTACAGTAGTATATGGCGGATTGAAATGTGAGGAGTTTCTCCGACCTCACGCAAATCAAACTCTTCACATTGTTAATCTTCCATATACTACTTCGTGAACAGTGCCCGCAAAAAAATAACACTGTTAGAGGGCGGGGCGCCTCGCCAGTTCCGTTTCGCAATACCCGCTGTAGTTCCGGTGTCCTCACCGATGGTCTAATGAAAAACGTGACTGTGACGTGACTGTTGTTTCGGGAAGTGGCAACTACGGAGAACACTTTGCTCGCATTTTACCTTCTCGTACTTCTAGAATCTCGTTCTTTCGTAAAAATGTTTTCAATTCACCCGCTTTTATGTGAGATGCAAGCGAAATATGATATGTAGGTTGTATCTAATTTCTGTTCAGATTTACTCTTTTAATATACATGATCCATTTATGAAAGTTGTGACTACGTTTTTATCTAAAACTATAACCTACTTGTTTAAACGCAGAATTTAGATTGACCGCCGAGAAAAGAAATCATGCAGGTAATTTATTTTGTCTTCGCACTTTAAAAGTTTCAAAGTTTATTCGAAATGATTGGTGTGTTTTTCTTCTGACGTAACCTTTTTTATGCCAGTTTTTATATCGCATTTGCTGAATGAAAATGATATAACATCTTTGAGATAATCAAAACTCGGCATGTCGATAATTCAACAACTAGTATATCAGTAATCGGAGAAGTTCATCTTCGAAATCTAATAAATGAACTATTACTATTTCTGCGGAAAAATAAAAACTGTGCAACCAAAACTTTGTTAACCATTTTCACTCGACGTTGCCTCCGTAAACACGGAAGTATTCGTTCATTANTGTCGATAATTCAACAACTAGTATATCAGTAATCGGAGAAGTTCATCTTCGAAATCTAATAAATGAACTATTACTATTTCTGCGGAAAAATAAAAACTGTGCAACCAAAACTTTGTTAACCATTTTCACTCGACGTTGCCTCCGTAAACACGGAAGTATTCGTTCATTATTCTAAAGATAAGATCACATGCAAAATACTGGCAGCCGTAGTTCGTAGTCGCTGTGTAACTCTGTCGCAGAGGTAAAATGGGAAAAAACGGCTACCACTGCTGCCTCCCTGTCAGGATTTTTATTTTTTGTGACGTGTCACGTAACGTCACGCGTGACAATCACACAATAGATGTAACGCAATGTCACGCAATTTGTATTTTACACAAGCAGATTGTGATGTTTTAGGAACGATTGCCAAAGAAAATCACTTTCTGATGTTTTGCCGGACGTAACAAAATCAATAATTATTGGAAGGTTCAGACTTTTCGAAAGAAGCATTAATGGAATTGTGTTTGGCAGTGAGTAAATTCTTTCGTGTTTTGTTACTTCCAGGCTGAGTTTTTTGCTAAGGTTTGTAAGCAAAGCAGACCCAGCACCACAAAATGCTCCAACAGCACCAAGAGGGGCGCTAACAATGATTCCAGGGCATGTAAGGCTCAAGGCAACGCCAGCGGTCGCGAGAGGGGCCGAGAGAAAGCCCAAACCGATGGCGGTGTAGCGCATGGCGGTCTGTGCTTTCTTGTATTTTTTGGTGACTTTTCTGTAGTTCTTTATTCTTCGGAGATTTGTTTTTCGATGTCGCCAATTCGAGACAACCGAAAGTTGCCAGGCGGCAACTCTGGAGAGGGTCTCTCAGAGGGTGCCCTTGGCAGCATGTTCAAAGAGGACATATACATTATTTGATTGCAAATAAAATTTTATGCGACAATTGAACCATGCATTTAAGTAATGATTTGCCATTACGTGAGGAGAGGTTGGGAGCTTG